CCATCTCCTGCTGCCTTCCTGGCTGAGGCCAGGCTCCCAGTTGGAGGTTGAAGTGTGGCTCCTCTGGCTGGGTGCAGGGACCCAGGGAACAGGCACATGCACAGCAGCTGCTGGACCCTGCGCAAAGCCTCTGTAATTGTGCCTGCTCCTGGGGGTCTGTGGGGAAGAAACTTTCTGTGGATCATCCATGTCTCTTGAATGTCACAGGCATTTGTATCCCAAGGATCCCACTCCATTGCTCTGGTCATTTGCATCTTGGCAAAGGTCCAGGCCTTTGCAGCTGCATTCAGTGGAGGTGGGCCTGTGACTCATTGAGAATCCTTTGCTCCTGGCAAGCCTTTCACTGGGTTTGTTGACTTCCTCGGGCAACTTAGACTTCACAGCATATTTTGTTGCTGTCAGAATCATCCTTTAGCATTTTCCTTCCCACTGTAGAGATATATATATAAAGATGTCCTTTCATTGCCTCTCACATGTAAACATATTAGGGTACTTCTTGCAAAGGGACTTTATTTATATATCAAGGTCATTGTGGTGCAAGTGGTTACTTGAGTGCACCACGTCTGTGGATGCTGCTTTATTTATATACAGGGCTATGTTACTGCATTTGTGGAATGGTGAGGAGCTCAGGCTTCTGCTGCCACTGGAACTTGTGAAATAATCAACGGAGCAAGAGTTGCTCATGGCAACCCACAAGGAAATCGAAATCCCATGGAAACGTATTAGAGGCTGTGTAATGATGTGACCAAACTGCAGACAGCTGCAGTGGTCTGGCTGAAGAGCAGAGCATTTTTACTTTATGGCACGTGCAGGGTACTGTGGGACAGCTTATCCACTCCTGCTCTCTTGCAGTGGAATGGGCTTCCCATGGGAGTGGAGTGGGCTCCCTCCTGCCACCAACATGCATCACACTAAGGGTCAGGGGAACCCAACCCCCTTGAGGCATGGCAGTGGCATTCAGAAACTCAGAGACTCTCAGATTACAGCTCACTCAGAGACTGCAGACTGCAGCTCCTATTTGGCTGTGTAGAGACCACCACCCTGCCAAAAAAAAAAAAATCTCTGTGCAACTTTTAAACCGCTCTTCAATTGATGTTGCTTTATGCAAAGGTTGCTTTTAAAGCACGTGGGATCCAACAGCATTATTCCACCTGTCACAGAAGGAACATTACCCCAAGGACTGGATATTTTGTTTCTTAGCAGTTCTATTTGCCTCCTGGTTTGTGACATGAGGTATTGCTGGATACTTAATTTTAAATGGAAGCTGAGATAAAAATTCAGTTCTTGACACTGCATTTAGGAAGAATCCCAAATATCGTAAGACATTTTTGTGAGCTAGCAACACTGGGAATGAAAACATCTTTCTGATAGGATATAATATAGATGTAAAGCACAGAAATGCAGGGATGCTTCAATGTATTACTTCTGACTTGTTTTACAAAATATAATATTTTAGTTGGTGGATAGATTTCAGAGCTGCTGATGTAAAGATCAGGGCCTCCCACACTTTGCTGTCATATATGGGGCTGACTACTGCATAAGTCACATCATGTGCCTAACGTTGTGATGCTGGGTTTTGATGTTTTGTTAGAAGGCCTCACACACAGAGGTGGACTTGAGTGGGAAAGACAGAAGTCTGGTCACTCTGGGGTGCTTACTGGTGAGGCTTGCTGCCCACAGAGTGGCTGCAGACCACTGCCCAAGAATGTCCTGGCTGGACACTGGTAGCAGGGAGACAATGGGCTTAAAACCACATCATCAGATGTGTATACATGTTGACAAAGTGTTCTTTTCCAATTTTTCCTACAACCGCGCCCCCCCCCCTCCCCCCCCCCACTGCTGAAACTTAACAATATTTTGAATGAGGAGACCTCTGATTGTAGTAGCTGGGAGTTGCCAGCAGAACCAGAGGTCAGGTCTGCTGTGCAAACCATGGTTCATTAGTAGAGAGGATGCTGAAGCCCATCCTATTGGTGGGACAATTGCATGGGAAAGCCTAAGAAGTAAAAGCAGGAAATCTGGCACTGTCTATGTGTGTAGGTGTGACTGGGCTGCTGGAAAGCTCAGGGGTGCAAACCCGTGACATCTGTGTAAGACCAGTGTGGCCCCAGTATTGTGCAAACTCCTGAGACCTGATCCCAGCTGGGATAGATTAGTGATGCTAACAACTGAACAGGGAAATCTTGCTGGGAAACACATCCTTATCCTTATCCTTATCCTTATCCTTATCCTTATCCTTATCCTTATCCTTATCCTTATCCTTATCCTTATCCTTATCCTTATCCTTATCCTTATCCTTATCCTTATCCTTATTATGCAGTGTCTGAGGGCTTGTAGAATCCCACCTGAATCTGTTGTGTCAGAGCAGAAAATTGCTATTTGGATGATGTCCTACATGTTATAATGACCAGTTAGTATTTTGCTAAAGCTGGGCTGCGGGGGTCTGGAGGGGAGGGATGGGGATACTTGCTGGCCTGGCAGCACTGAGACCAGGCTCACCCTGGTACACAGCTGCAGGACACAGTGCAGCTACCCAGGCCAGGCTGCTGGGCACAGCCAGAGCAGCTCAGGACAGGCAGGGGGGAGCAGCTGAGAGCCCACAGCCCCTGGGAATTACAGACAGAACTCATGTTTAGCATCACTGTTTTCATGCAGCCATAAAAAGAAATGTTTGTAGCATTTTAGGGTCTGAGCAGGAATACTGGCTCCATTGAAATCAGCAGCATAACTCCCCCTGAATTCCACATGGACAAGATTTAACTCTGTCAGTGCAGAGGGGTTATTGATTTTCTTGCTGCAGTTGTCTTTACTAGAACCACAAACATCAGTCACATGCATTAAACAGGGATAGATAAACAAGGAAAACTGAAAACACGAGAGGAAAGTCTGCAGCTCCATCTAGCATAAATTGTTCTCATTTATATAGTTTCTTCCCTGCTCTCATCTGATTTAGGACAAAGAAAGGATTCTCTGAGATGCAATTTATGAAATATGAAGAAACCCAAAATGCTAGTTTTTACTGAAAATTCTTGACCCGGCATTTTCTATCAACTCCACTAAAAGGAAATCAATGTCTCCAGTTTGGATTTTTTCCAAGAAATTTTCTTTCCGTATCTGAAAGCATCTTGTGTTCACAAAATCACTAGCAAGTAAATGTGATCAGAATGGCATTGATCTAAATTTGGGTAAATAACAAGCCTTGGGTAGAGGACTTGATAGTTGGGGTTCACTTGGGTTTCTACTGATATCTGGTTTGTATCTTTATTTTAGGAAAGGAAAAAAAAATCTGTATATCCCTGAAAGAGGAGGGGGAAAAGATCTCTTTTGAAGTGTGTTCAAAAGACTCATCAGACTCAACACTTCTGCACAAGGAGCAGGCTCACCAGCCTTGTCCTCTGACCACCTCTCCCAGTAAACCTTCTCCCTTATCTGTGTCTTTCTGGCAGAAGATGCTCTTCTGGAGGAGGGAGTGTTTGCAGGAGGGCAGTGCAGAACTGCAGCCATGATGTCTTTGCCAGCATGCAACGCCCAGCTCCAGCCCGGCCGAGCCCCGCTGTCACCAGCATGCTGGTGGCAACTGTGCTTGGCAGGCTGGCAGGGCATGCAAAAGCATGCTGCAGCCATTCAGCTCCAAAACAAGGGCTAAATCTCCTTCCAGGCCGACACAAAGCTTCCTCTGGCTGGATTCTGTCGGCTCTGGAGGAAAGCCAGGTCCCAGCCAGGAGCAGTGCCAGCAGTGGTGGGGCTGATGGAGGCAGCAGCTGGTAGGCAAAGCCTGTGGGCCGGCCAGCTGGCAGCACTGTGATCATTATTTCCAGGATCTGTGGATCCTGGTCAAATAAAAGGGAAGCCTTCATCAGCTGAAGCGTATCAGCCGCTTTCTTTGGAAGGAGTGCATTTAGGGCTAGGAGGTTGTGATCCCTGATAGCAACAGCAGCAAGTTGGTGCCCTGCCTCTCACCTGGCAGGAAACAATGGCCACCTCCTTGCTGGCCAGCATTTTGGGTGGCATGGATGGCTTCAGTGGGGCAGCACTGTAGTTTGAGGAGGTTTTAAGTCACTGCTGGGAGTAGTGCATTGAGTCATCAGCCTGCATCGCACCCTCAAGCACTCAAGTGATTTGATCAAATGTTGTTTATAATTATTGCAGCTCATCAAGCTGTCAGTGACTATTCACTGAAAAACTACTTAACTATTCAGAAAGTGTCACTGTAAGTTGAATGTACCAGTAACTAATACATATCACATATGTGCTGTTTTATGTCAGTGGTAGTCATATAAAGTATATGCTGTTTCTGATTTCACATTGTTGGCAGCTAGACCAAAAACTTTAAAATAAGCCTTTTCAAGAAAATTGGTTAATTTTATCTAGTACTCTCAATATTCAGCTTGAGCCAATATTTACCTATTCAATCAGACTGAAGATAAAATAAAGAATGAATGATAAGTATTTGTTTAAACTTTGGAAGCCCCCCTCTTGCCTTTCTTTCTTATCTCAGTTTTCTTGATTATCAGCTTGCTGTCACTAATTGCCACACCTAATCACTTTTCCACTAGGAAGCAGCCTGGGACTGATAGGAACCAAATATTTGGAAATATGAGCTATACTTGTTAAAAAATACACCCATTCTGGGAGAGGGAATGTTAATGAAGGGTCCCCCACTTGTGCATCCCCCAGCAGGGTGCTGGTCCTTGCGCTGGGCCACACCACGTAGCAGGGGCACCCACATCTGATTTGAGTTAGTGGCAAAATGTCACTTGACACCCGTCAGGTCCTTACTTCTTGTGGAGAGGAACGTAAGGAATCATGGGGGGATCACCCTGTGCGCACTGATTTGGAGGTGGATTTGCTGCTCCCACCCCTTGTAGAGGGGCAAGAGCATCATGAGGGCCTGGTGTACACTCCCAGAGGATGCTGTCATTGCCGCTCCACCCCGTGTCCCACCCTGGGGCTGGCTGGCATCCTCCTTTCTGCTTCACCTGCTGTGTTTCTCTGCCCAGGTGATCTTCCGGGCCCTGTCACCGCCTTACGCCGCGGAGGACCCGTACAGCGCGGAGGCCCAGGCGCAGCTGAAGATCACCAACCTGCGGGTGCGGCTGCTGGAGCGGCAGGGCTGCCCCTGCCTCCCGGCCAGCCCGGCCCCACAGCCCCCAGCATCCCTGCACTATGCCATCTACGACTTCATCGTGAAGGGCAGCTGCTTCTGCAATGGCCATGCTGACCACTGCATCCCCGTCGCTGGATTCAAGCCCGTCAAGGCGGCTGGTGTTTTCCATGTGGTATGTACATGCACCCAACAGCGTCTGCACTGCAGGAAAGCAGAATTTTAAAAAGAGGAAGGGAGGGCATAGAGTATGGTGTAGGTCCAAGTATGCGAAATTTGACGTGTGATGCCCTGGATTCCAAGGGTGGAATCACTCAAGCGCAGCGAGCAGAAATGGTCTTTACGAAGGAGGTGGTCTCCATGTGGGGCTGAAGTGCTGAACTTCCTTTGTGTCTTGGTGTGGGACTGTCATCCTTCAAAGGTGCTCCACAGTAATTTATTTACTTCTCTAAAGTACATTTTTAAAAATAAATTTAAATTGCTGACACCCATCTTTCCCCAAATGCTAACTTACAATAACACAATATCTAAAGGATGAAAAATGCAGGGCATTTTGGTAACATAGAAGGAGGAGAGCTTCTCTGAAAGTCAGAGTCATCTGACTTTCAGAGTCATCACTTGACTACAATGGCTTCTGGAGGATCCAAGGACATTGGGTTAGGTCTTGAATCAAGGGGATAGAGACGGGTTTTGACTCTCACTCGTGGGCTTCCTACTGCACATTGCAATACATTCTCTGCATAAAACCCCTGTGCTCTGGTTTCAAGGGGGCTCTCACAAGAGCTCTGAGCCCAAATCCCTAAGGACTCACCAAGCCCAAAACTCCAGGGAAGCAAGAGCAGCTAACCCATTGGGCAGGAGATGGACACAGCAGTGGCCAACACGTTGGATGCCTGTGGCTTGGCATGCCTACACCCAGCCAGTCCAGGGACACTTGCTGCCCCCAGTACATCTTGTCCTTTCTGCTTATCTAGGCTGGCTCTGAAAGCTCTGGCTTTGCTGGCAGAGGAGCAGTAAGGAAAGACAGAGCACCCAAACATACTGTGCTGGAAAATGTTAGAAAGAGAAAAATCATAAAAAAAAAAAAAAAAGGAGGGCAGTTAGTCAAGGTAAGGAGTCCAGCTCTTTGGGGAGCTCTCATTTCACTGAAATTACAGTCTCAGGCATGAAGCAGACAGGATGTTTCCCTTCGAATAGAGCTAGCCTTGCAACATCTTGAAAATATACCAGTTTGAAAGCATGCGGCACTGTGATTGATAAGAGTGTTTCAAGTAGCGCTGCTCTGCTTTCCGCAGATGTCCCCTGAGTGAAATCTTTGAAAGGAGCTGTTTGCTCAGGATTATTTTGGTGGGATACAATTGCATGGGAGCGTGCCCCGGAGCACCACTGAGAGTTCTAACAGAGCCTGCAGCCAAATAGGCTTCCAGTACAGCTACAGCGTGTGACAGCCATGGTGTGCAGGTAACAGGCAGTGCTGTGGGAAGGAAACAAGTGCCAAAATCACACTGAAAACAGAGCAAGAAATAGCAACAAACCCCTGTGTTGGCCCCAAGGGGGAAATTCAACTCCGGTTATAAATGTTTATGTGGCAGGAGTCCCAAAGGTGACGTTTCCACAGTGAGGCTGACTCATTTTGCTGTGTCGTACTGTGTTTTACTTGCACCTCATCCTGCATGTCTCGTGAGGGATGTGCCAGTGTAGGGGTGACATAACCCCATGGTTTGCAGGGACAGGCAAGGCATGGTAAGAGTTTTCCTCTCCCAATACCACTTTTTCCATCATAGAGCTGGGGCAGTTTTGGCTGAGCCTGGTCCGTGCCAGACTCCTGTGACATGAGGCTATCGCTATCTGGGGATTGCAGTGGCACCCACCCTATGCAACCCATTCCAGGGTTTGCCAGTGCATTGTGTCAAGATTGGAAGAGAGAATTATTTCCAAGGTGATACAAAGAATTCATCACACATGGGAATGAAAAGGGACAAAAGATTGCGATGTCTGTGGCTGTTTAGGTGGGAGAAGTCAGAAAACTTCTGAAAACAGAGTAGGATTTCAGAGAGGGAGCATTTTTGTACATTTGAAAAACTCACAGCAAATATAATTCTAAATAATTATGACTAGTCATTCAAGAGGGAGATGGAGACTTCAGTATAGTCTTTATGTAACTCTATCTATCAAGGGTTTTAATAGTGTAAAACTGAGGGCAACAAAAGCAGGGAAACACAGTATCATTTCACAATACCATTATAAAATCTGGCTTTGTTTTTATGCTTGTTTATATAAAGGCACTCCTGAAGAATATCCTCTAAGATAGAGAGTTAACATGAAAATATAAGCATGATTAAGATCATTTAATAAAAAAACCAAACAACTTTTCCAAAAAAATCTATGTGCAAGTTTTCTTAACCCCACACTTTTTTCTCAGCCTACAAACAAAATCCTAACTGGTATGTGAGAATGCTGGGGGCTGCTGCTCTGGCAGGTTTGGTGCAGGATCCTGACCCAAGGGGCCAGAATGGTCACTTGTGACATGGGCCCAGCTTGCTACCACAAGATTCCTCACATTGGATGTATTTTTTTCTTGAGATCTTGGCAATTATGAGTTGAGAAGGTGACAGTTTTGATGGCAAATATTGTGAGTGGCTGAAGTGAGGCTACAAGTCCACTTGGCCATGAGATAATACTTACCTGGGATACCCTCAGGGTATGGGGTTGGGATGCAAACAGGGTGACTTCATGAACAAAGATGGGCTCCTCTGCCCTGGCAGAAGCACCTCTAGCTTCATTAGATTCTGGGGTGGGGAAACCTCTGCAATCTGCAATCTGTCTAAGTTCAACTTTATAGAGTTTGATAACAGATTTGTTTCTGTGCCCTCATCACTGTTTAGCTACAAAACTCTCCATGATGCTCCTCTCCTTCTGGCAATTCCCCCACCTACCCTTTATCCTAAAAGAGAATGGAATTTGTGTAAGAAAACTCTGGTTTTGTTTGAGTGTCAGAAATGCCATGCCAGCCTTTAGGTGAATTCTGAATATACAGTTGGAACTTCTGCTCTAGTGGAAGGTATATTTCCATGAGCTCCCCAGGAAGGCTATAGAGAAGACCTTGCCTTCCTAGGATGGCAAGGGCTGCTCCTCATGGGTAGTATGATCCTGACTGTCCCTTTTTGTACACTCGTGTGCAACAGACAGCTGTTGATACAGAGACAAGTTTGATACAGATGCACTTTCTCTCTTTCCCAGTTCTCTCAAATTTATTCAAAGGGTCACTTCCCAAATCTCATCAGGAACAGCCCAATGCATACTCAGGAAAAGATAATGCATGTACAATGAGACCTCCTACCATACCATGCTAAGCAGCTGGTCACTTTGTGAGCTGCATCACACGGCAAACCACAAATATGAGCAAACAAACAAATTCACATATTTAGGAGATCCCTCCTGATCTTCAGTGGCTGTGAAAAAACTGTTCTTTTCCTCTGATCTGTGGCAGAGGAGCTTCTCACCCTTTGCCAGTAGTTCTGCACGTGGAGCCATTGCACTGCATGCTTGACCTCTTACCAGCTGAAGCATCCCCATGGCCTGCTTGCAGCTATGGCAAGGGGCACGTAAGAGGAGAGGCAAGTGTTGTGCTAGCCTGGAGATAAGTAGGATCTTGCAATTTAGGACTCTAAAGTGGGCAAAGCAAGCCCAGAGATACCTCACCTGGGCTCTGCAATTCTGTCTCAAGGTGAGAGCTGGAGTTCATCCATCTCAGAGACTCCTTGGCCCTCCCCGAATAGAGATTCCTGCAGGTTAGCCAGCCAATCTCTCCAGGCTTCTTCCATAGTTATGAAGGTCAGGATCCTGGGTGGACTAAGATACTTGGCTAAAACACCTCTGTGTAGTTAGGCAGGGTGAATATTCATCCCCACTTCCCATGTGGCCAACCCAGTGGCTGTTATAAATTGTTATCATGCTACTGACATCAAAGGATGTTCAAGGTCTTCCAGAGTAACGCTGACAGAAGCCTATTGTACCAGGAATTAAAAAAAACCCACCGCACAGCCCCCACACCCTGGACAACAAGCTTTGTATTCTTTCACAAGAACAAGATAGGATATGAGGATTTTCTCATGCATAAATTTGGTTGTCTGGTGCTTTGGGAAAAGAATACCTCCCTGCGTGCTGACAGCCGCCAGTAGGCATTGGTTCTAAAACTGGCACAGCAGTTCAAGCACAACACAGTTTAAAAGCTATGGTTAGAGACTCAGTGTGAATGCTGCCATTTTCCCTTAGGCTAGTATCATGCCTGTTTTCCATAAAAGCTAAAAAAAAGAAAAAAAAAGAAAAAGTACAATTTTAGCATTTCCAAAAGGAAATTCTATTAAAAGCCGTTGCCCCTCCCAGCTATTTAGACTGTTTAAGCTATCAGGTCTTTGGGACATTGATTTTCTTTTAGTGTGCATTTGTGTTGGACTCCATATAGTGGGTGAGTTCTTACAATATAAATCAATTCATAACAGGTGACTGAAAGCTTTTTTCCTCCAGTGCAACAGTCTTTGTCACTGCCTAACATGATAAATATGGGGAAAAGGATTTTATAGGATTCAACTAGAGAAAAAGCCCTATGTATTTGTAATCTGAAAGGAAGCGCTGGAAGGTTATAATTTGGCAACAAAAGGCTCTGGAAGGAAGCATGCCCTAGCAACTGTCTTTGTATAGAGAAATCAGTCGCTCGTTTATCTTACAGAAGGCAACTTTTGTAACAGTGTTTGCATTGTGCCCTCTAATGACTGACGTTGCGATGGGGCTGTCAAGCTAAGAAGGGGAACAGTGTGAAAGTGAACTGGGATATAAAGAACCCATGACAAAATGAAAAATGTTGTAAGAAGGCCTTGCTGCTTAAATGAGTCAGGAGCCGTGTGAATGCTTAAAGGAGTGAGACATACTGGGAATTGTGTTTGTGTACTTAGTGATGCTCCATAATGACCCTAGTGGGTATGTCTTACAGCTAACTATAAGTTGAGGTGAATGCAAAGGGAAGAAAATATGTGTTCCTTTCCCTGTCAATGCACAGGGACCACATTCTGCCTTCAGAAAGGTGCTGAGATGCTGGAGAAATCCTGAAGGCCAGGTACATCATTTCCCCAGACTACCTTTGTCTCAGCAGAGCTGCTGGGCTGGTTTCTCAGCCCCGTCTCCCAGCTGCTCTGTGGCATGACAGGGTATTTGCATGGCAGACCAGTCTTGCAAGTGGCCCTCCTACAGCTCTTAGAGACATTCATTTTGCCCAGTGTAGACAGTCTGTTGGCTGTTTTTCACCTGCTGCCACTTCTCCTTGTATTACCCCTTCTTGTCCTATACTTTTTGTATTTCTTGCTCTCACAGTATTTCTTTATAACTAAAAAAAATGCATGTCTACCTATGGACTGCAAGAAAGGGCTTGCTAGTATCCACCTTTTTTGTTGTTTCCAATGCATGAAAATGTTTGCTGTCATGCTGGAATTATGTAAAAGAAAGAAGGTATTTTCTTCAGTGGGATAAAGCTAGGTCGGAGGAACATTTTAAAGCAGAGTTCTTTTGGGTGGTATTCATTGTAATGCTATTCTAAGATACCAAATACATCAGCCTGAGGCAAGATTTTTGAATCACTTAGGTCTGACTTTTCATTAAACTTCTGTGAAAAAGGAATATGGAAAAGAAGGTACTAACTAAACAGTTGTACTGAGAAGCAAGCTGTTAAAGACTGTGTTTCCCTCTGCTCCCTCGGTTTGATTGCCCATTTAGCTCTTTAGCTTCTTCATTAGTGGGTCTGCACCTCATGCTCTGCCTGGCTGAGAGGGCTTGGGGCCACCATGAGACCTGAGGGGACCTTGGGAGAGGCAAAGTTTTCTCAGCCCATTTAAGCAGCAGTGCTGTAAAGGCAGGGCAGGGTCAGAACTGGGACAGCACAGACAAAACCTCAGCACAGAGGTTTGCAAAGGGTGCATTGCAGGGTTACTGAACAGCCGTGCTCAGCCCTGCCCAGGTGGGCAGAGGGATCCACAGCGGGATCTGCGCTTGGGAGGGAGCAGCTGATGGAGGCTGGTTGTGATACACCATGAGGAGAGGACACTGCAACACAGCACTCGTATGATGAGAATGGGGAAAGTGTTCCTCCTGGCCCAGGAGCTCAGCACCCACTGAGTCAGGCAGGAGCCCAAGCCTACAGGGCCTCTGTGCTGCTCCTGCTCTTGCCTTTACGCAGACGTCGGAATCGTGCTGTTGTGTTATTTTTTAAGCTTTTCAGCCAGATCATTTTTTTCCTTTCTCCCAGGTGCATGGCACCTTTACAAACAGTTGATACCAGGAGTATGATCAATGCCATCATGCTCTGTCTCTGAGTCTATCTAGATAAACACCAGCTGGCTTGATTTGCATCATCTCCAACTTGGCTCTTTTGCAGTTCTCCTTGCCACAGCATGAAAGACCACAAGCCTTCTATTGCTGCAACAGATTTTTAACTATATATAACTTCTTTCCTTAGAGTTCACATCCAGATTAATATTAATATGTTGGTGCCTAGCTATTCAGTGGTTTACTTATTAGCTCTGCATGCCAAATTAATGGTGGCACAGCAAACTCTTGGGATACCCATCCTATTCTGCTTTATTTTCACCCACCTTCCTTTATTCTAGCAATGCAGCACACTCAGTACTTGGGCTTTCAGAAAATCCCAGCTCTTGCTCTTTGAACCATGAATGCTCCTTGGTGGAGCATTTTGCCTTGCTCTCTGCTGGTGTCTTGGGATGCTTAATCCATAGAGAGTTTCTGAGATGCTGCTGAGTTTCAGATGAGTTTTTGGATTTTTAATGCTGAGCAGCCTCTGGATGATTGATTGGGTCCCCACTGATTCTTTGTGTGGCTTTGGCAAGGAGCAAACTGAATTTAGAGGGAGAAGCTGTGGGCACAAAAAGGGGGAGCACACATTTCCACAGTAATCTCAAGTGTCCCCATGTCTGAGATAATTTTTTGTTTGCAATTCTTCTCCCGTGTCCTTCTCACTTTGGCATCATGATTGCAAAAGTACCAAAGGACCCCCTGATTTTGACTATGGCACCCTTCAACTCCTTCCAGTCACCTTCCCTTCCTGATCATGTGTGTCCTGGGTCTGGTGGTCCCTCTACCCTTACAGCTGGGACAGGCCTATGAGGAAGGATTTCTGGAGAATGTCTCTTGCCACAGATGTGGTTCAGGCTAGTACAACATGTCTAGTCCTAACCACTCAACGGCCAAAGGGCTTGCAAGAAACTCCTACCAAAAGTAGCATCAAAGAGTTAGGACACCATAAAACCACCAGAAGATGACCAGTACAGGTTTAGTCATCTTCTGTTTCCATGCAGGTATGTATGCTTTTAAATGTGCGTGAAGAGATTCTGTAACTTTGGTTTGTGTGTGGACCTTACCTAAAAAATGTGAGAGAAATTTATTAACAAGTGGTAATTTAGGAGAGGGAGGTATCTGAGAGTTTGAAGAACATTTTGTTGGTGGTAGCAAAAATGAAAATATGAAAACACAAGACACACTTTGAGAACTACATATACCCTCTGCAAATTCGTTGTTTCTTTTCTATATTTACTTCTCATTCTCATTAACACACATTTAAGATTATATCAATATGGTAAGCCAGACAGACCAAGTAGTATCTGGAAAGTCCTTCAAAGACTTTTGCACAGAAAACAATTAGCTTAGTATTTTCACTTTAGCTTAGATACTTGTGCATTCTGACTTCATCTGTACCTATTCATTGCTTACAAAGCCCAGTTCCTGTTCTGTATTTTTTGATGATCTCACATTTTAATAGGGCAGGAATGAATTCAAGAAGTTTTTGAAAGATCTTGCTATTTTCATTTCTGCATAAAAGTCTTTGAAGGCCTTTCCAGGTCAGTTTTGAAATTTTATCTGTATTGCTTGCATTTGACTCCTGTGAGATAGCAGCTGAAATCTATTAATTAAAAATGAAGAAATAAGAAAGTCATCAATAGCCAGGAGTGTGTGTGGTGGGTGGGTGTGTGTATGCACATATGTAACAAGCAGAAGCTGTTTACAACATGTTCAAGGTCCTCTTCTGTTTTGTTTACTGTTCAGGCTTTTCACAGGAACCTTTTTGTGGCAGTCTTGGCAGCAAGTCATGCAGTTAGGAACAGCACACTTGTAAAACCACAAGTTAAACTGTGTGGAAGGCAGCAGTTTCCAGTAGCAGTTAAAGCCATGCCCCAGCTCCAGGCTGGATCACCAGGCACCCCAACCACTCTGTGCTCCTCTGGATGCCAAAAGCAGCCTGCAGCTGGTGCAGCTCCGTTGGTTTCATGGCCAGCTTGTGACATGAGCACAGGGCCACGCTGGCAGGGCAGACTGAGATCCCCAGCTCAGTCATGAGCAGCGGGAGAAGCCAAACCTTGCATTTAAAAGCAAAATGTGGAGCAGAGTAAAGCTGCAAGCACAGGCACATATCAAAATAGCTACTGTAGGTAGCTACCTGCCATGCTCCATGGGAAAAGGCAAGGCCTTCAGTCTTGCCAGCAGAGCCTTGCTGCTGCAGAGCTTGATCTTGTTGCATCCAGGCACTGCCGGGCTGCTCGTGCCCTCTGGCTACATCCTGTTTTCTTTGCATTTGCCAACAGGGTGAGTGATGCCAGCGACTGACAGGGCAGCTGGCATCAAGTGTGCTGTGCTGGCTTTTCATCTCTAATTACTCCCTTACACTGGCCTGTCTAGCTGTTAGATTATCTGTCATGAGCATGTCCGAGTATAGTCAGTCACGGGCCTTGTGCTATCCTTGACTTTTCCTTTGTGGGGCAAAAATTCTGCCTAGGATGGGTAGATAGTTATCTTTCAGGGGGATGATTTTCTTTTTTCTCATATTTACTTGTGCTGGAGACAGCTGGGCACACAGAGCTGGGTGCTGAGATTGTAGGTGCTATTCCTGCAGTATTGCAAAGGTGTATTCATAATTATGAGAGAGAAAAAGAGAAAGGTTTTACAGTATTTCCCAAGGATGCTTTGAATCCTGGCATTTTTTTAATCTCTCCTGGGAATTCTTTATGCAGTGACATGCAGATCTACACATAGTAACCTAACTGAAAGTGTAACTACAGAATATTTGCCCTTGGCTGGAATGGACATCATGCTACATCCCTCCTCCTAGTCAGTGCAATAGCATGTAGCTGGCATGCTATTTCCTGTGTGTGGGCTTGTGCCCTGGAGACTCTGGCCTTTGCTGTGGGTGATCCTTGCTCTCTTTCCCCTACTAGGTGCATGGGAAATGCATGTGCAAGCACAACACCGCAGGGTCCCACTGCCAGCACTGTGCCCCGCTCTACAACGACCAGCCTTGGCAGGCTGCCGACGGCAAAACCGGAGCCCCCAAAGAGTGTCAGTGTAAGTAGCCAGCAGGAACCGTGTCTCCAGATCCTCTGCCAGAGGGAAAAGCTCCCTCCATGTGTGCCTGTCTCCTGTGTGTCCAAGAGGCATCACATCCTGGGGTGGTGGGGAGGTGCTTTCTGAGCAGCTCAGTGAGTGAAGAGCCACTGCCATGGCCCTGCCCAGCACCCACCACGCATTTGTGTGGCAGGGACAGCCCTGTTTGCACAGCCCCTCACTTGGAAATCCTCATGAAACCATGATGTCTGTTGGTTTGGCCTTTCTCTGGGACCCAAGTGCATCTCCTGGGGATGAGGTCTGCTGCTGTGGGCAAACTGCAGCCTGCCAGGGTAGCTTGGAGGTGACAAGGGGCCAGATTTGTCCTCTCCATGGACACCACTGACAAGCTCCTGTGCAGGAGCTATGACTTTCTGTTGCTGAATGTGGGCTCTGCTCACCCCTGGGCACTGAGGGTGGGAGCAGCCATTGAGGGTGGGCTCTAGAGGTTTGAAGATCAGTTTTGTAGTGCCAGGGAGGACGCTTAGGGTGAGTGCTGGAGGCAGGGGAATCCTAAGGAGGATGCTTGTCCTCTCTCACACACCTCTCCTCCACCTGCCTTTTTCCTCCATCAGCTGCAGGGAACATCCTGACAGCACTCTCATGGCAGATGTTGTATAGGGCAGTGCTGATTTCTAAGACTGGGAGGGAAGGACCCTTCCTCAGCAGGACCTCCAATGAATGTGGGTCTCTCTTCTAGCTGTGACTACCTGTGGCTGTCCTTGTAGTGGAAAACCTGTACTGGAAACAGAAGATTTAAAGAAAATACTCTTTCTTAAATATTATCTCCAGAGGTTGGAAAATACAGATGAAAATGTAGTGATACTTCATGCATTTGAATGAGTAACAGGTCAAGTCCTCATTCCAAAACACAGTTTGAGTTTTTGTATCTCTTTCCTATAAATCAGCATCTTTCACTGCCTTAATGTGTCTTTCTGTTCCCTTTGGCTTTGCCTCAGCGTGCAAGTGTAATGGGCATGCTGACACTTGTCATTTTGACATGGATGCGTGGCTGGCGTCGGGCAATCGCAGCGGCGGCGTCTGTGACAACTGCCAGCACAACACGGAGGGGCAGCACTGCCAGCGCTGCAAGCTGGGCTTCTACCGCGACCTCAGGAAGCCCTTCTCTGCCCCAGACGCCTGCAAACGTAAGTCAGTAGTGACCTGGTTCTTCTCCAGTGGGAAAGTGTCAAACAAAAGGTGACATCTTCTTGCCCCTCCTTGGAGCAATCTTCTTGCTTCAGTGAAGGACAGGGAGCTCTTTGAATCCTTTTTGTGATACTGCTTGCAAAGAGCAGTGGTGATATTTGCAGGGTGAAAGTTTGCAGATGCTGTCGACAAATCTGTCCCAAGAATCCCTCTAGCCTGAGGGCAGGGGAAGAGAGATGATTCATTTACTTTCTCCTACTGCTATTTTTGGAGAGGAAAAGCTGCATCTTGTTTTCATGTTCTCCTTGTTTGGTGATTGTTGTAACCTCAGAATCAGGTTCCTCAGCCAGCAGGGGTGCAGCTGACAAATAGCGTCGCCCACCAGTTCGTGTTCGCAGCAGCAGGTGGGTATGGAAGGACAGGCAGGAAAACAAGTTAAGTGATATTCCAGAAGGTGGGACACTGAGGAGGCAAGACTAAAAGCAGTGATTCAGTCATATGTGAAATTAAATCTTTCCCAAGCAAAGAAGCAATCCAGAAGCCACACTCCCCAGGGGCCACTGTGAGGATGGTGACTCACCATGGGGGGACTCCAGATCCCCAAATTACGCTGAGAACATTATACTGGCCAGCTAAATATGGGGTGCAGGCATGCCCTCCTCCCTGAGCCTACAGCTGGCTTCACCACATTTCTCCTCACTGACTCACTTACTATGAGGGGGACCTTCACAAGTGACAGAAAGAAATCCAGCTGACACCCTGCCTGTGTCTTTTGAGGAGACACTGAGCACATCTCTCCCCTCTCAAGGAGAAGTACCTGCATGTAAAGGAAGAGGGAATTCTCCTGCGGTGGGGAGCTGCACCCCAGGCTGGGAGGGTGTGTGAGGTTTCAGTTTGTTCTTTGAGTCTGGTGGGGAACATCTGCTTTTGTCCTGCTCCCTTGCTGCATATTATCCTCGTGAGATTCCCGGCAGCCCCACCAGTCTGTTGCAGAGGTGCTCTTCCTCTCCACTTTTCACTCATTGCAAGGAGGGGCAGCAACAGCTGACCTGCCTGTTTTACCACCCTGGTTCTCCTTATGGAAACGGAATTGACCACAGTTCTCCATTGCTTGTGTAAATAATTACTTCACTGCTGTAGTATGTACACAATAATTTTTTTTAAACAGTGAATTTAATGACTTTAAAAAGTTCCATTACCTACTTGTATTCATCAAAGTTTTGAGTCTCCTCTGTAACATCAGATACTTTCCCTTCTTAATTATTGCCAGAACTTAGGCAATGAACTTTTGGAGTCTCATTAGGAAAAAAACAAGTTTAAGTCTTGCATTTAGACCCCAAGCAGAAGCTATATGTTTTTTTCTAACTCATGGATTCATCCTTGCTAATTAAAAAAAGAACAAATAGTATTAATTGACTGCTGGTAGATAGTGCAGGATTGAAGACTGAAATAAATCTGCATGACACCCTCAAGCTCTGAAACATCATTATACTGTGGTTCTGGTACCTTTGCTAGGGTTGGAATTCCTGATATTCTTTACATGCCAGCTCCCTTCAGGGAAGAATATACACTCTTCCGAGGCCATTGAACAAGTGAAGCTTTGGAACTGGGTTGAGTGTGGTTTTCTGATACGTAAAAACACCACTGTTCACTTTGGAAGCAGTAAAAATGGCTTCTACCTCCTTTGTCACCTCATTAAGTCCATTGGGAGGATGGAGTTTCACGAGGGACTCATTGTAGGCTTGTCCTTGTGCCAGAATGCCCAGTCCATAATCTGTGGCTGTTTGCAGGAGGGTCCAAGAGGAAGTCAAGTGGCACCTCTTGGGCTGGCCAGCACAGAGCCTCCTCCCTTGCAAAGCCAGATGGAAACAAGAGGTCTCAGGATATATTGCTGCAAAGCAGCCCCAGCTCAAAGGGAAGCCTGCCAACCCTGTGCACATGCCTGTGTGCAGGTTAGATCATTGCTAATGAAGTCAGGCAGTGCATCACATCATTAACTATGTGTTAGCCAAATTCTAGGGTTCTTGATTAAAAAGTTTCTCCCCGCCTCTATGAGCCGGAGGAAGCTGTGGATATTTGATGATTAATGGGTATTTTTGTTGACATATGCCAGTGCTTGGTTCTCTTGGCTTTCTGCATTAATCTCTGAATCACTGGCCCATGGCATTCCACTTTCCACATTTAAAAAAAAAAATTGTGCCTCCGTTAGTCTTTAATGCAACAATCCAGCTTTATGGATTGCTAGATATTCATGAACTACAGTGTTTAAATGCCAAAGATAACATATATTTAACAAGAACTGTAAGACACTCTTGAGTATAGTGAGAAAAAAATTACATTTATTTACCTTCTGCATTAAGTACATCTACTTCATGACACTTTTTTTTTTCTGCATTTATGAATTGCAGAGCTGATACTCCCTCAAGTATATGAGGAAGACAACTTTTCCTAGCACAAACTGAATTCCACAAATATAAGGATTATCTGAATGCTTTCCTTTCAGAGACCCTGTTACTACAAACTCCCAGATGATTTCTCTCTGGGTTTTTCAAACCCTCACAAATGCACTCCTCCCTAAGACCCCTTCACCTCTTCACTTCTGGTCTCCTGCTGCTGAGAGTGCTCCCTGCACCCAGGGACCCAGCATCTCACGGGGGTCATAGCAGCTGTGGGCCGTAGAAAATGACTAATGACTGTTAAATTAAAGTGTATAAGATCAATTACAGCCTATGCCTGGAACATTTCCAAGGACCATGCCGTGGTCTGCAATAATAAGGGACATGCGTGGAGCTCTATTATTCTTTCTTGGGAAGGCCATGACATTGCCTGCTTGTTTTTGGCTCAAGACACCATTATTGTTCAATCTGAAAATTTAAAAATACCTAGGTCAAAGTAAATAGAGGAGTTGTTAAGCCATAATCTTTAAGGATACTTTAAAGATTCTTGCAGGCAAAGAGTGTGTATAATATTTGTTCAGGAGTAGGCGTGTACCTGATAAAATGAAACATTCTGCTGTTTAAAACACCAATCTGATGGCTCTTTCCCCCCGTCATACCTATGAGTCCTTTTCTTTCCATCCTCATGAGTTTTTAAGCCTCAGCTACAATACAATTGCAGACAATAAAATCGAGTTTTATAATTGCCAAGTTTATTTTGTTTTTTAACTGTAGGGTTTTGAGGGTAAATATTTGTAATTTCCAAAGGTTAGCTGGCAGCCAAGGAAACCACAACAGTATCACCAATCCAGGGCAGGGAAATCCAGTTCTGCTGTCATCCCACTCACTGATTTTCCATCCCAGTCAGCACATGCAATGCCAGGACAGGCAGCTGTTAATTCATGTTCTGCATGGAAGTCACATGCAGACTCCTGCTATGTAGTACTGGCTGGTAAATTGGCATTTTTAGCAATGCTGCTTACAAATCTAAAAGCAAAAGGATCAAGCTTGTGGAAGCCTTCTCTTGATCCAAGGCTGGGGCCTAGCCATTCCTTCCCTCACAGGAGCTGCCTTGGCTGTGGAGACTCCCAGCCTCCCTGGTGAAGCAGCCACGGCGCATGAGACAGGCACTGTGCAGAAGCCTCACATTGAGAGTCTCACACTCTGCACCTGTGTATCCACAATGAAATGCCATCCAACACTGTCTGTAGCTACTTTTCCTGCTGCTCAGCTGCTCCTCTCACCTTTCTGGATGTGGGCTTCCTACTGCCTGCACTACAGTGAGGTGCAGATTGTGTGGAAGGAGGAAAATGGGATCTAAACCCAGCAAAGCACAGCTGTCCATGAGGGACCAATAGCTTTCAAACATTGGATAATCAGTCCTGCAATATTTTCCCTCCTGCCCTTGCCATAGTATGGAAGCACTCTATCCTTTTTCCATGCTTTTCTTTCCAATATGGTATAACACACATTTGAGCTCTAGAGCCTCCTTTGGTGCACAGCGATGGGCCTCACTTCATGTCTGCATTGCTCAGCAAGCTCCCACCACAGCCCATCACATTCACTGTGTTGAAAATTTGCCACCCAAACCATTCACATTAATGCCCTTTAGTGTCATCCTGGGCCTTCACCCAAAATCCAAGAGTAGAAACCTTCAATTTGCCAGCCACCGTTGGAAAGCAGATTGACACCTTGGTGGCCCATTGAGGAGCAGCCAGGGAGGATGGAATCAATGGAAGTGGATATGCAGGCCTGTTAGAAATTACCAGCCTTTACAACACATATCTTTGTGGCTTTTATTAAAATGTACAGCCAAGTACCTTCTCATTTTTAGTTGTCTTTTAGACAGCCAATGAGTTTCCTGCTCTTTTTCATAACAGCTTTTGTAAATTTAATATTCATGCTTCACCATAGTGTTGCTACTGATGTTAAATTTTATATTAGAAATAAAAAAGTGTGTAAAAGAATTGTCTAAAACATAAAAGCTCCAACCCCAATGGGGTTATATGTAAAATTCAGCTGAAACCTGACCAAAACAGGACCAAATCTCTGGCTGAGCAGTGGGTTTATCTCATTAACTGGAGGGGAATAGAAGAGCCTTAAGTGCCTGATATTTCCCCTGAAGGGCCTGAGGAATGCCAGAAATACCCTCCTGATCTAGTAGGAAAAGAGAGCATTTGGATATATGTATCAGGTGTAAAACACTTCACAGACTTCAGGAGAAAGGTATGCAAGTCTCAGTGCACACTGTTGAAAACTATGCTATTAAAGGTACCAGAGTTCACTGCCTGCAGCTACTTACACAGTTTGTGGAGAGGCTTTCTAATCTTTTAATTTTATATAATTATATTTGTTTGCGAGTGGGAAGGGTGGGGAAAATTTGGGGATTACTTTGGCAAAGATGTTGGAATCATAGTCGCCTCTAAGTTAACTGCCAATACTAATCTATCCTTTAATATTTTGAAACTATACTCTGGGTATGTCAGATTCCTGAAACCACAAAAATGTTGTCGGAGCAAAATTAAATGTAAGTGTGCAGCAATAAGTATTTTAAGAGGAAGAAATATGTTGCCTGTAGTGGCTTTCCTGCTCTATTGCCTTCACAGTTGCAAAATAGAAAGATTGGTATTAGAATTTAGTGAAAGTATTCCCTACAGGTATAATTTTCTCAGGAAACTCAATTTTATGTAGATGAAGCTTTGGGCAAAGGTCTCTCAGCAGGGAATTTTTTGCTGTAATATGTAAGGCTGACTGTACCGTGTCCTGGTCAGAGAACCAAACCCTGGGGCAAGAAGAGCACAAGCAAGCCAGTTACTGGTTCTGTGGGCCACAGCATCGCCTGCTGACCTGGCCACACAGTCAGAGGTTTGGCATATGCTCAAAAATGTATTTCTGTTCTTTGAAAACATTAACATCTTTGGGGGAAAGTAGCCTTGTAACAGACATAAATTATGTTTATGTAAAAAAAGCCTCTAAGGAGTAGGTAAGGAAAACTTCACACACCACATGCACCACAGCACACTTCTAGTGCATTGTTCTGATGCAAGGGGCTGTGAGGGACAAAAGAGAGCAGCTGGCATTTCTGATCTGCACTCTGCAAACCCGTGTCCTGGAGAATATGCAAAAGCCTATCTCTGCGCTGTCAGTTTCCTCATTCTTTTTTCCTAAAGTTTTTAATTGATGGTTTTAAAAATCAGACACAGACAGAGGGGTACTTTTTGCTCAGCCTTCACTTTAATTAAAATGACTGTTCTGAGGGGTTTTTTAACCTCCTGGATGCAAGACAGTTGTTATTACTTTAAAAAGCAATTATGCTCTGATTCATTTTTGCAATGAAGCACCCGCAGCTGCTTAAACATCACAGTGAGGCAGGCACATCCCTGGGTGCTTGGCCGGATTAGAATCCAGATGCTGCAAGAAAAGTAATAAAGGCCTGTTTGGCAAAACATGACACGACATCAGGGTAGGCTGACTAATTAAAAACTAGCTCACAAAAGTTAAAATTCTACAGATTCCAAAGGGAGACTCTGCTCAGATTTCTCTGGGTGAGGAATAAAAAAGCCCAGAAACCCCAGCGGTGTCCCTAGGCAGAGAGGTGGTTTTGCAGGCATCTCCTGCGCCTTTGCGGTGCAGAGGTTGTGCGCTCACAGCTGCTCTGTCCCTCACCGTGTCCCTCTGCTGCAGCTTGCTCCTGCCACCCCGTGGGATCGGCCGTGCTCCCCCTGGGCCCCCGCACCTTCTGTGACCCCAGCAGCGGTGACTGCCCCTGCAAGCCCGGCGTGGCAGGGCCCCGCTGTGACCACTGCCTCCCCGGCTACTGGGGCTTCGGTGCCTACGGCTGCCGCCCCTGCGACTGCGCCCGCAGCTGCGACCCCCACACCGGTGACTGCCACAGCAGCAGGTGAGTTGGGGGTCTCACCATACCTCACCACACCTCTGTGATCTCAGTGCCAGGGAAGGTTCTGTTTACACGTAGCAAGCAGGCTGAAAAGTATCCATTGTGTGAAATCCTTGGGGTTTGCTATGGGTAAGGAGTGGGAATAGAGTGGGAGCTGAGGCTGTCGCTTCCTGGGTACCTGGCACACCATGGCTGGGCTGGAATTTTTGCTCTCAGTGCTGGTGCTAATGTATCAAGTGTTTTCCATAACCTTCACAGTCGTTTCCTCTCCACAAGCAAATGTGGGCCTCAGGGACATCTGAGTGAGAGAAGACAAAAGGCTTAATTTTGCTGTTGTAACTCAGCTTATGTTGACTGTGGCTTGGAGTCAAGCTCTGACTTTTAGAAAACAGCACATTTTAGTAATACCCCACTCTCCAAATCTGACATGTTGCTTTTTTTACCAAACTGAAGATATTTGTGGTATATTAATCCCTATAATGTATTTTAAACCCAAAATGGATCCATGACCCTCTCTGACAACACTCAACCCATTCACCTTCCAAAACTGCCTCTTGCATTTACCATCATCAAGACACACAGTCACACTGTGTCTGGAGGACGGGCTGGTAGTGGCCCTCCTTTCCACTGGCTCCTGGAAGAAGGCTAATCATCTTCCTTTCCCCCCAACAGCTCAGATGTGACCTGGCACAACGAAGCACCTCCTTTCCAGGCAGTGCTGAATGAGAGTGAGCCCACCTGGGGCTGGGAGGATGAGCAGGGCTTCTCAGCACTCCGGCACTCTGGTAGGACTGCGGCTTTGCACGTGTTTCCCCTGGCCAATCCCTCCCACCAGCAGCCACCTCAGACCTGTCTTCTGCACTGACTTGTAGTTATCAGTTGCAGGGGGGAAGGGACATTCCCCCACTAACATGTGGAGGAATGTCCTTGTGACAACCTCCTTCCCCTCCAAGACCCAGAGGAGCCTTATGGCTCATCCCATCAATGCAAGGTTGTGCAAACCCATTAGACAGATGCTCCATGCAGCTGGGAGCGCCTGTACCCAGCATTTAGGTGTTGTAAGGCAAGAATTTGCAGTTCCAGCTCTGAATTTCAAGGCTGAATGCCCTCACATTTTACTTGACCATCATGTTTTAAAGGTATCCTTATATTCCCTAAAACTCAACAAACCAGCAACTTTATTTAAAGGCTGGGGTTTGCCACTTCAGTGGCAGGCAGTTAAGGGATTTCTAACTCAGAATTTATTTCCCCGATACCCACAACGGTTTTGGCATCACTTGCAGCTTATGGTGCCATTTGAGATGGTCTAGCATGCAGCTGGAGAAGCCATTTCCCTCCTGTGTTCCCGGCCTGTGGGAGGTGGGTGCTACGTGAAGGCTGGTGCAAGGCAGGCTGGCCCCGTGGGGCAGCATCAAGCTGTCCTCCCTTGTAGCTGCTGCATGCAAGCAGGCAAGCGTCATTTCCTCCATTTTCAGAGAGCGGCTTGATAACATCTTGAAGATACAATAATTGAGTTAATTGAGGGGAAAGCTCCATCATTTGTCTAGGAGATTTCATTTTAAACGTAAATAAGTCTATCATGTTATTCTTTGTTCTAAGATCACGGAAGTCATTAATCTGCCTTAACCTCTGCAACGTTTCCTTTTAAAATTTTGTCTGGTACATTACGGTGTGGAAAATACCACAGGGAAAGATACGCATGTTATTTGCATCCCAAGGCAAAATAATAAGGCCTTTGTTTTCCTTCTCTTCTTATTGTAAACAAGGAGTAATTGCCCTTGGACTAAGAGTCTGTATTCCCTCTCAGTCTGAAAACAGTTGCAAATTCCTTTTTTTTGCAGGAGGCTTGTGGACCATTTGAAAAACCTCTGGCAGTTCCTAGTCTCTGCCTGCAAATGCTCCTGTCTTTCAAGCACAATTCACAGCCATTTGCTTCCTTCTTTTTCCCCAGGTAAATGCGAATGTAAAGAGCAAGTTTTAGGGAATCCCAAGGTCTTCTGCGGGATGAAGTACACCTATGGTGAGTTGTGGGTGAGGGGGCTGTAAAGGGAGGTGCTGCAAGTCAGTGCAAAAGTGTATATAAAGCACGAGAGGTGCTACGTGTGCACCACTCCATCCTGGCAAACCCACAGGATACTCTGTCTAAAGGCAGATCATCAACCAACCTGTATAGCTACCATGATTCCAAGTCAAGGTGGGTGGAGCATCTTGTTCTGTTACCCCTCTGTCTTGCTATCAAGCAAAACACCCTTGTACAAAAATCATGGGAGGACAAGAGCTGGAAGTGTCCCTGGGAGGTTGTCTAGGTCCAAGACAGATTATAAACCACTCTTACCAAAAATGGGTCACTGAAACGCTGTCTGTAGACAAGGTGCCCTAATTGGAATCTAGAACTGGCTGTATCTGAGTGATCTGAGACTGAAAGTAAGGAGGGACCATGATCACCACTCCATGGATAAAATAATTCCAGCAGCTACTGGGAACCTACCCCTGTCAACAAAGTTCAGCTGTTGCAATGGGATGATGTAGGTGTCTACGTGTCTCTTGGATTTAAATGAATGAGAAGAAGCACTTTGTTTCAAGTTGTCACAAGACTTCCCTGGTGTATGCCAATGAACTGCCTTCTTCATACTGTTGCAGAGCAAGGAATGCCCTGTGCAGCACTCTCTTCCTTTGCAAGGAATCTCTTGCAGGGGTCTCTTGCACCTGTTTCATCTCACACTGAAATTGAAAATGCACAGAGAGATAGCCCATACCTCTGCAGGCTTTAGAGCAGCCCACAAAGTGGAGTTCAAGGGGCTTCCAGTTGTTGAAATGTATCCCTGGCTTAGTGATATTAGGAAAATATTTGATTCTGCTCTGTTTTGCTTTCCAGCCACAATAGTAACCGTGTTTAATCTTGCAAAAGATAAGAAACTGAAAGGAAAAAAAAAAAGTTACAAAACCTCCAAGTTCATAAATCTTATCTAAAGTGCACTCAGGCTACCCCTCCTTTCATCAGTCAACATGTGAAGGTGTCAGCTAAACTAGAGAGACAGATGAATTAGGGGGCTCATCATGAGCTCCAGGAGGCCACACTGTGAGAGGCTGCCCTGAGCTTCCCAAAGTGCGTGCTGAATAAAGCACCACCTATGGGGATACCAGTACAGGTGGGGTGGAGGAGCTGAGCCCTGAACCTCCACCATGCAGGGGCTCAGCAGTGGAATGCCAGTTGGTAGAAATGTGCCTGTGGATATGGTGAGCTCAAAGTACTCCCTGAATTGCCCCAGTCCCCACCAATGTCTCACTCTTCTCCGCTGAATTTGGATTTGGCAGTTCTGCAAAGCAGCAGGACTGCCACCAGGGTGGGGTGAGGCTGAGGCCAGCAAAGCCTCCAGGGCCATCCCTAAATCAAATTGATTTCCAAAAGTGCTGAGGAACACAAAGGGTTTGCTGAGCTCTGGGGGGAAATGGAACCTCATGCCCTCATGGCTGTTTCAGAGGCCATGGCCAAAACAACTGACAGCATTTCTGCCCATGGGTGTGGGGATGTATGTGCTCCCCAGTGCCTGCTCTGATCCTGGGCTCCCCAGCAAGGAGCACTGGGCTAACTCCACTGTGGCAAAGCAACTGTCCTCGCTGCTTCATCCAGACACCAGCACTAGACCAGGGGAAAAAAGAGAGCCCTGTAAATAGTCTGTATATTCCTGGTTTTGAACTCCTGTATTCCCAGTGATCAAGACAAAGATCTTATCAGCTCATGACAAAGGCTCCCATGCAGAAGTCAGTGTGAAGATCAAGAAAGTCTTGAAATCTACAAAGCTGAAGATCCTCCGGGGCAAGAGGACACTCTACCCTGAATCCTGGACTAACAGAGGCTGTACTTGTCCCATCCTCAATCCTGGTAAGTTTGAGTCCCTGAACAGTATATCCCCACCACATAGACACAGATTTCCTTCCTGCCCCTCTGTCCCCTCATACCAGTGAGGTGAGATTGCAGCCCAGTGCTGATTAAAAATTACTGGCTGTTACACCACTTGGATTCCAACAGCAATCTCCATCAAATTGAAATTTCACAGAGAAAAACTTGGTTCATCCTATGGACTTTGAAACATACAGTTCACTTTATGTAGCACAGCAACAGGCTTTCAGTTTTACCAGTCTCTGTTCCCAGAGGAAAGGAGGTGCACATCACACCACAATTGCATGATATATCTTTCAAAACTAAAGCTAATTTGAATCCATAAAAACACACTTAAATCTGAGCTGTGATACTGCACTAAAGTTCTAATCTAAACTCAAGGGAAGATTTCTCTTTGTAAGTAACACAACTTTACATCTTCAAGATTTGGAAGAAATTTTCATATGCAGTGAGGAGAGAGCTCCACAGTTTCTTCCCATCTTCTTTCACTGAAATGGAGTATAACCAGTGGTGGCTAAACTGGGCATGCAGTCTCCAGTATGGACAAGGACATGCAGATTCAGGGGTTTCTTCCACAGAGCAAAACTGAGCTCCAGCTGACACGCCTCTTTTTAGTACTCCAAGATAAATGAGCAGCTACCAGCTTATTCAGATAAAGGGCTTTCTTTCCATAAAGTGTATACACCTCTGGGAAATTGGCAATGGAAGCATTGATGTAGGTGCTGAGAGGTCCCTTTCATGTGCAGTACTAGGAAGGAGGGGGTACAGGGCTGTCTGTGAGGCTGGGTCCTGCAGAAAGGTTATTCACTGATGAGGTGTTTGCAGTCTTCTTTCATGTCCACAGGAGTGACTGTCTGGTTTCCAAGGCAAGCACAGCTGTAGCTAGAAAGTCTTGTCAGGTGCAAAGGTCAGATGAACCAGCAGCATTAGGCAGGGCTCTGCTGTTTAAGTGCAGTTAAGACTTTGGATTTTGCTGGAACACCATAAATCACTAATCAAACAGCTATAGCTGTTTTATTTTTCCATATGCAATGAAAACACAATCAAGAAAGCCCAGATGCAGCTGCCTTAATATGAACCTGAAGGAATGCAATGGAAGCTGTCCAAAACTGAGCCTGCAGGGTAGCCTCACACCTGAGACCCAGCTTTGCCACTCGACTAACATCAGAGGAGCCTCACTGATTTTCCCCAACTGATGAAAAGACAGCATTAATCACAGAACCAATGGAGGTCTCTTAGACAACAGCAGAAAGGTGGAGATGCAACTGTCTTTAGTTACAGTCCAGGTGTCTGACACATCAGGTGTTACTCCCTTGTTACTTCCTTGCCAGCTCTCATGATTAATGCTGTGAAACTTGGTATTGTTTTGAAATGGAGCTGCTGGTCCCATGAGTATAAATTAGTCTCAGCCTTCACGTTGAAGAGAAGTCATGAAGTTTGTTGCTAATAGGAAACTTAAAAACATCCATTGAGTGAATCTCTGACATTCAATAATGTCAAAGAGGGAAAAAAGGATCCCAGAATTGTTTTTAATTCATTATTTTCTTTAGCTACCACATTCACTTCTGAGTGGCTTGCAATACAATATTAGTAGATTCAACCCTCTGTGACAGTAAGAGCTTATGGCCTACAGGTGAATAAACCATAACCAGATGGATGAAAAGGCAAGCTGACATAAAACAATTTTCTGACATACAGCTATAATGAAAATCACATCTTCAAAAACCTAGAGGAGATCAAAGATAAACATAAAAGTCAGGCAGATGTGTTTCTATACTATTTTACAGAACTAAAGGGATACCAAAAGTAGAGTAGGCTCTTGAAGATAATGACAAGAAAAAAAAAAAAAAACTCCAAGCATTTATCAAATCTCTGTGGGCTATTTTCAGATGAAAAACATGCTTAAGTTCCTACAAGGGGAACCCTTTCACCACCCTTGCACACCTTCTGCTCCACACACGCACAGAGGCAGATTCTGCTTCTGGGGGGGACACTGAGCTGAAAGATTTAAACCTTGTTTTCAAGGTAAGAGGAGCCCATCCCTTCCACAGCTCTGCCAAGCACAGTCACAGAGAGGCAGAGAGTAGCCTGCCAGGGCAAACTGCACAGCCTCAAGTCCTGGCTTGTGGCATCTCAGTCATTTGACTCATTTTAATTTTACAGCTCTGTAGCATCAAGCTGAAAATCTAGGAAGCCCTACAAAGTCAGCAGCCACGACAATATTTGCTTGCTCTCTGAGTGTGCATACCACATTTCTGTCTCGAGGAAAATAAATCCAGGAACCCTTGAAAAGTGATGCTTCTAACAGTAAGATTGACTTGGCCAAAATGAATGCCTTGTGAAGGACAATGCTGCCACACACATATGCTGTGTTTAATTGGCAGAAAAGAGGATGTGCATGCCCAAAAACTCAGATAAAGTAGAAAGTGAATTGTATTGCTTGACCTCTGACTTGGGAGGTACCCTCCCTTTATTCTGGACTGCAGAATGAAACCCAAGACAGCACAAGCTGCAGCCAGGATGGAGCAGGATGACTGAGAGCACCGGGGAAGGCCCATCTCCCATGGCTGGTTTGCACCAGCGCATTGTGCTCTCTTGACTGGTGCAAGAAGGAGTGGGTACAGGAGGAGTCCAATGCTGGCTACATCCTAAATGTTCTGCAGTGGGATGCTGACTCTGGCAGGGATCTCCTCCTGCCATGAAAGGGATTATCCTCCTTATTATCCCCATTTATGGCACATTTGTGGCCCATTTAGGCTCTTTGGATCTGTGGCAGTGTTTCTTTAGCTAATTCAAGCCAAAGGCTTTGCTCTACCTCCCTGTTTATCAGTAGTTACCCGGTTCCAAGCACTGTTTTGAGTTGTGTCTTGAAAGTCAAGCACAGACCTGGATGCCTGAGGAAAGACCTGCAGCAGGGCACTACAGGGACACACTCCAGACCTTTCTATCTGTTTCTGGACAACCAGTCAGACCTTCTTGTCAGACCCTGCTGTCATGTCTCCAAAACATCTGGCAGAGGCAGAAATTAGCAGTTTTTTTCAGTGTGACAGCCACTCCTTCAGGCTCTTCTAGGGTACTGGTGCCAGCACATTTAGTGTTGCCTCTCATTGAGGTCTGGCATGCCTTTGCCTCCAAGGGGCCGCTGGCCACTCCAAGCAAGATACCAAGCACTGGACTATCCTGCACTGTTCCATTCCTTGAATTTGCTGAATTGATTTCCAGGCCCAGATTTATTCAGGGAGAAGTGAGGCAGATGGCTGCCAAATGAAGGTAATAGCAATTCCCAGAAAAGGTATAAAAACTTGCAGTGCTGCCCCCAGAGTTCAGCTTTCATTTATATTTAGAAACTAACAAAACCACGTTTTGGGTGCTGCATCTCACTGACAGGTAGCCACAGGGCTCGTTTTGCCATAGATACAGATGAAGCTATAGATATACAGATATATATGTGAGAGTCAATATATATAAATATTTCTTTGTGTAAGTGATTTTTTACATGGGACTAGATATCCAGGCTGACTTTGCAGCTCAATAGGCCTCTTAAGCATGGTACTGTGCAGTCCCTGACCGCTTTGCTGGTTTGCAGGCTTGGAGTATCTTGTGGCAGGACACGAGGACGTCCGAACGGGCAGACTCATTGTCAACATGAAAAGTTTTGTCCATCAGTGGAAGTCGGCTCTTGGAAGAAAGGTCTTGGAGATTTTGAAAAGAGACTGCAACTAGTGCTGTGCAACTGCCTAGGGCATTTCTTTATGCACAAAACGCAACAGCCTCCACAGAGCGAAGACCTCTAGCATGAAAACTGGAATGTAAGAAAATAGTGCCAACACACATGTAGTGAGGCATTCAGAGTTGTAGGCACTGTCTAATTTAACTCTTTCTGGCCAATGTTCTTTCACTTGCCTATAGCTTCCTTGTCAGGGCCTCACCCTGAGCCCTGCTTATCGTAATGTTGAGGGGAACATAAGGGAAGGTGGTGGATGTTTGTCTCACTCCAGTGCAATGTTGGAGCAACTCCCATGAAGCCACTGCTCACCCAAGACTAAATTGCCATCCTAGAAGAGCTACTGCTGAGAAGCAAAACACTGCCAGTACTACTAGTGTGGATCCTGAGTGACTTCCAGGGGCTCCCAGAGGATGCTGTGGGGAAGGCAGTGGCCACAGCAGTGGGTAGGTGCTGGCACCAGCGTGGCAGTGAGAACCACTCTTTAGAAACACCCCCTTGCAGGTTAGGACCTGGCACCCGTCAAAGAGAATAGGGTGCCACTTGCTTGTAACCTGTTTGCCCTGCTGAAGGTTTCAGGGGCTAGATTCTCTGCTGATGCTGTTGAGGAGAGAGCTGCTGGAGTGAACTGAATCCCTCTGCCTTGGCACAGGGGGGATGCAGGGCAGAGGCCAGCTCTCCACCCACTGCTTGGCTGCAGAGAAGAGCCAGCTGCAGAGGGTGCAGCGTCTCTGAGCTTTTTTTTGTCCTTGAAGTGTTAAAAAATGAACCTAGCCCTAGTGTAAATATTTCATTGTATAAAGCACTTTACTACCTGCCACTTCACGGTGCGGGAAGTCTAATTGTGTTGGGGAAAGAAGAATTTGAAGGTGGCACGTGAAAAAATCTCCCTGAAACAGGAGCACTCCCGAAGACCCCCCGCAGTTGGACAGCGTTAACAGTATAAAGGGAATGGCCAGCCTGGCACTGGCCACTCAGAATATCTGAGGATGCAATCTGAAAGATAATTTGCACTGAAGTCCCAGCTTCAGACCAGCACTTGGACCCCGTGGGCAGGACTCCAGCAAGACTTTGCAAACTGAGCGAGGAAAAGAGACTTGGAGATAAAAATGCAATTTGCCGGAGGAGAAAAATTCTGACTGCAGGGAAAGGAGTGGATGCAGAGAATGGAAAGGACTTGCATTCACATATCACAACCCAGCGATTCATGGTGGGCCTGGAGTTTATTTTATTTTTATGTTAGTATTTAAAACTGAACATTTTATTTGTTTTCTTCTGTGTTATTGTTTGCAATATATACAGCCATTATACTTCCTCATTAACACCAGTATGAAATATAGCACAGTTTACTGCAGTTTTCAGCACTAAAATATATCTTTTCTGTAAAGCATCTTTAAACCACATTTCATAGAGTGTATTTTGTTCATAAGTGTGAGGGGAAAGAAGACATACAACACCAGAAAAGTCACTGGTCTATCAATCCACTTTACATATGTATTTTTTCTTTCAAGGTCCTGTGGACTCACAAAAAAAAAAAAAAGATACTATTTTGGTAATTTGTTTTTGTATCTCATGTATGTAATAAATATAATATGATTTCAACATCTTCTTCTTCTCCTGTTACTGTTGCTGCCAATGGCAGCAGGGTCTTCATGCCTGCACTAAAGAGCATAAGCAAAGATTGCACTGGGTGAGGAGAAGCTGCCATGGGGGATATTTTCCTCTCTGGTTGGGAGATAAAATGCAACACGTGGTAGAAAGAGAGGTAACATGGTTGGCTCACAAAAATCCCACCTCACCTCTAGTTTTGGGAAGTTTATAAGCTCTTCTTATAAGAAGGGGAACTGTACCTAAATATTTTCAAAGCTGACCAGATCCTTGCCTCCACACAGGCTTGAAGGCTGAGCTGCAGAGCAGGTACTTATAAGAAGCAAGAAATAAGGTTTGTTCCCTACATTTGAAGCTACTAAGAGGAAACAAAAAGCTGTGGGAAACAAATGCTGTGGCAAAAGGTCTACAAAAACACGGCAGAGTGAAGTCAAGCATCAGAAATTAGTGGCCAGGGGGTCAAGACATAATCCACAGTGTGGGCAGCAGCTCCCTGGGTGGGTGGTTAATCAGTGACTACGGCAGCACCCATCTCCCTGGTGGAGGAGAGTGAAGGGACAGGCTCTCCTATGAGGCCCTCAGTGACCAAGAGCCTCCAATAGCTCTGTTTTGATTTGAAACTGTGTGTTTACCTGCTTGACATATTTTTACCTTCATTCTATTTTAATGACACTAAAAATACATTGGCAATGGCTAGTCGATTCATGTGACCTTGTGGAAGCTGGAGGGTGTGATCCCACTGTCCCAGCCAGCTCGAGCACTGTAGGAAACCAGGATGGGCTTTGTCGGCAGTGCTGCTTATGCATCTTGTCTGACTCCTGACCTAGCCTTGGAGCAGGGCACTGATGGTTTTATGGAGGAAAAGGGTTAACTTCTGTTGGGAAAATCTGCCCATGAGGCTCCAAGTGCCATGTCCACATGTTTCTTGAATACCTCCAGGGATGGTGACTCCACCAGCTCCCTGGGCATTACAGTATTTAATATCCTTCCTGAAGTAATTCGTCCTGATGTCCAACCTGAATCTCCCCTGGCACAGCTTGAGGCTATGTCCTCCTGTCTTGTCTTGTCTCCTTTCAGGTGGCTGTAGAGAGAGAGGTTTCCTCTGAGCTCCCTTCTCTCCAGGCTGAACAATCAAGCTCCCTTAGCCATTCCTCACAGGACTCACCCTCCAGACCTTTGCTATCCCTCTATTCATATGAGATCACAAGACAGACAGCCAGGCCCTCCTTAGCAGGAAAAGCTGCCTTGAACACTAAGTCTTTGCAGCTCAGTGAGTTGATGGAAGCAGCCTGCCTGGTTTATATGTTTACTCCCCTCTGTTATGTGTATGAGAAGAGGATGTCTGTCTCTGCCCACCTGAAGAGCAGATACATTGCTTGATGATTCCAGGAGCAGCAATGCCTTGACCAGTCCTTCTGTGTGACAAAAATCAGTGGCAGGAAAACCAACCCAGTCATAATCAAAGTTAGGGGTCTTTTCTTCCAGAATTGCCCCACTGATACAGGCAAAGCTGGCAGCTGAGGCCAGGCTGCCCTTTCTGGATCATGCTGCTCCTATCAAGAGGTGAGTGCTGGATTTTCAGGAACCAAAGATGGGAATGGCCACAGTTCTCCCTAGAGATGTCTTTATGCCTTACCTGCACCAAAAGAACAACTACCTCCCTGCTGCTGAAGGGAGCATGGTGGAGTCTTCCTTTCTCCAAGGCTGGAGGCCAGGTGTAAGCAGTGACCAGGGATCAGTGATAGGAGCTGGGGCTGCCTGCCAGAGCCCCTGTGCTCCTGGTTGTCTGTCAGCACTGCATGAGTGAGTCATGTTGGTAGCCTGCGCTCAGCTGGAGGAGGTAAGGCAGGTGTGTTGGAACCAGCTGCCACCACAACACCGACCCTGGCTATGAGGGCAACACAGCCCTTCCAGCACAGCAGCATCCAAACCTGTGTTCCTCCAAGGCACTCACAGGACACCTCTTTCACTCCTTCTGGTGGAGCACTCCACTCTCTGGCTCATGAACTCTCAGCAGATGCTTTGGCACAGAGAAGGGAACACCTGGCTCCAACTGGATTTCAATGCCTCCTTGCACTCTCCAAGGCAAATCCTGTGCCATAAGTATTGTCAGGAACAGGCACTAAGCTGCTGTGGCTTTCTCCACTGTCCTCTGCCACCACTGCTACCTGCAGAAGAAAGCAGAATAAACCACACAGATCTGTCCATTAGTTCTCACTGACCTGAAGCTGGGTTCTTAGAGGAGGCTGTACTCAGAGACATGCCCCATCCTTCCTCAGAGAAGTGGCCTTACACCAGTGCCTGGAAGCAGGGTGAGACTCCCCTGCTGTGCAGGACCTTGTGGTGGGTGCCTCTGCCCAGCCCATTCATTAGGAAGCAGGAGGTGATTAGGGTGAAACATCTGCTTTTATTCAGTTAAAGACCATTTTCCTCTTTAGATCACCTCAATAGAGGTGATGCAAAAAGCCTACAGCTCTGAGTGCCAGGAGGGCCAGCAGAGAAGCCACCTGCAGGCCCAGCCACATCCATCCCTGCAGCAGCAGCTGGCCAGGGATCTCCAGCTGCATGGCCACCTCTCCTAGGGAGTGCTGCTGATGGCAGCCTCCTCATCCCAGACCAAGCCTTGTTGGGCTACAGAAGTGCTGTGCCCTCCTGCCCTGGTGAGAGGCTGCAGAGGACTCAGGGCTGTGCTGCCTGCATGTGCACGGGGCCTGTCCAGTCCGTGATTGCTCGCCTCTGAGGAATGCAATCTTCCAGTTACAGTGGAAAATTACAGGCATGTTTAATATAGTTGCTCCAGCAGGCTAAATCTTCTGGGATATGACCGTGTTGCTGAAAATGACTGAACATCTGGGACTACAGGCCTGCCTAAATGGAAATCTGGGCTGGTATGGGTAAACATAACAATTCAGGAACAAATAGCTGCTGTGTATTTTTTTTTTTAATCTTTATTTTTAGTTATCATATTGACTTCATATCAACACAGGATAGAATAAACATCTCAAAAATGTCCGGTGGCTGCTGCCTCAGCATCCACAGGAGCTCTCTCTCTCTGATAAGGCTGGAGAGGATCAGCTGTCTGTGGGCCTTCTGGGCTGGTGTGTTCATTTTTTGATGATGGTGTTTCCAAAGCATGCTCTTACCCAGGGGTCAGAGCTTCTTGCTGCTCTATTCCCACAGTTCAGCACAGAAACTTCACTAATGCCTTGTATTGCTGCAAGGGAAGGCAGTGATGCCTCAATAAGGCTCAAATGCTGGGAAATACACTATATATGGGAAACTTGTAAGCATATTGAAAATGTTAGCATGGCCAAGAGGCCAATGTATTACAGCAGGCATTAGGAGAGCCACTCTCTGTGTCTAGCTCATCTCCTCACTTCTCCATCACTTTTAGGGGTCCTTTGGAACAAAAATAATGCTGGGTTGCTTGAACATGTGATGTATCACTGGTGTGATGCACTCACAGGTACACTTAAGCCCAACCGAGTCCTGTAGCCCAGAAAAATGTCATCATGCTCAAGCTTTGTTGCCATGCCATATGCAGTTCTAGGTATCTCCAAGTACTACCTGGATGCTTTCTGGGCTGTAGAAGATACATAAAAACAGTTTGCCAGGCTGCTGAAAGGTCTAGGGGGATTGTAAGCATGGATGAAGGTGTGTATGTGCATCCCCATGCTCATTTCTTCATTTCCCAGAGAATACTCTCCCTGCCCATGTCTCTGAGCTCCCCCTGACCAAGCAGGTTGTTCACACTGATGTTATTTCTTTCTTTGACCTCTTGTCTCAGACTTATACAAAGAAATTAAATACAGTTATTTAGCACAGAACATGGCTTTTAAGCCATCTGGAAATGAGGGCTGGCAAAAGGCCCTCAGATCTGTATAAAAATTGCTGAGAAGAATAAAGTTGTTTCCTAAAGCAAACATTAATGAAATTTCCCTGAACTGACTTGCTGTGCACATGGATATGCATCCCTTCTAGCAGGTGTAAAACGCAGCCCAGCTCCAGGCTCAGAGCACATGCCAAGGTACATAGACAGGTGAAAAAATATCAAAACCAAACAACCATCCATTAGTCTGGCATTAACCTGGAAGAAAGGGTACTCCTCACTGCATTTCCTGTGGCAAATTCACACACAATCTCTCCCTGGATTAGCAGAAGATATTTCTCACATTATTACCTCAAGGTGTATATGTTTAAAAAATATGTTTGCTCTCTGTCTCTGCTGTTCATCAGAGCTTTCCTTCATTTGCATCGGGTGCAACTTGCATCTAGACCTCAAGCATTTGTGAAGCCTCTGTGTGGTCAAATCTGCTGCATAATCTCTGCTTGGGCTTTATCTGAGTAACACCTGTAGGAGATCAGAAAACATTATTTCAGATACACAAACAAGAAGAGATTCACCTCATCTAGTGTGAGGTGCTGGTGACGTATGGTGGTCAGGACAGGATCCCGCGATCACCCCAGGGTTGCAGAAGAGATCCAGGAGCACCCTGAGAGGTCATTACAGCTGCAAGGGCAGCCCTGCTGGGGCAGGAAGAAGCACAGGTACTTGAGTAGCTTGAGGAGCATCAACCAGATGCTCTTGGCATAGAAGCAGGGGATTAAACTAACTCGTAAGGGAAGTTAAATAGAACAGAGGTCCAAGCAGGGACACCATCACCTCTGCAGCTGTGGGCTGTGACAAAGGCCACCAGCCACAGGAGGCAAGGAAGCCTCAGCATTTGCCCCTTTCTGGGCATGGCTGCCTGGGCCTGATCAGCCTCTTTCCCTAGAGAGCTACAAGAAGAGGCCATTCCTTGATCTGCAGAGCAGGTCCTCGAGAAGGTCCCCAGAGCTGCTGGTGTGGCTGGAGCAGGGAGGCCGATTCAAGGGAGTCTGAACCAGGTCACGGCAACACATGCAGCCTGCAGTTGCCTAAGGAGGTTGAAAATGCTCATGTGGAGCTGTGTGTGCAAAATAAACGTGCCCAGAGCCAGTCTGCAGCGCAAGCA